ACTGGTTCTTAGAAGGGAATATGGGAAAACAATCCCTACAAAATGTGTTCCCTTATTCCCCACTAGCGCTCAAGTAAATCATTCGGTTCTTCTGGGTGCATTTTCAGTACTTGAGTTTGGCACAAACCCTGCTATGGCCACCAGGGATCACGGCGATGAACTTTTCGCCCCACTGCACTGTATTTCTGTTAAAACAATATCGGCGTGTGAGGTAGAACTTGTCACATCCCCTTCAGGGTCCTTAAGGGTACCCTTGCTCTGGGAAATCCTGAACGCTCAGATTTAAGCCGTAAACCCTAAAACTCAAACACCCCACGTGACTTGTACCCCACTCTGGAGACACCACGACATACCCACTTTGAAAGCTGAAACGCTCTGGCAAAGTCAGTCCTTCTGTGTCTCCGAATGAGAGAGAAACCGTCGCAGCATTTGCGCCTTCTCCACGAATACATCTTGCATCCTTGCCAAAGGCTTATACCCTAAACCCTAAACCCCAAGCCCCTATAGTCGGTTTAAGGAGTACGGTCTACATCCTGCATCCCCACTACATTTAGGGTAAGGGTTGCCAGTGTGTGAGTAGGGGCACCGCAAGGATACCAGGCATTCCTAGGGGTCCCTTTCAGGGGTTCACAGGGTTTAGGATTTCGGGTCTAGGGTTTAGGGTTTCTTAGGTTTACTCCAAGGACCTACTGCAAAGAGCAGGGAAAGGACGGTCCTAAAGATCCGCACAGCCTGAAACGAGAACATTTTGACAAGGCCATGCAAAGGCTACCAGTGCATGAGCCAGACGCGCTAACAGGGCCTGGATTTCGAATGGTCGTTAAAACGCTGAAGTATCTTGGAATAGATCTCCCGGAATATCCAAGTAGGGACTGTAAAAGGGGAGAATTGACAGCAAATACTCTCGTGCCGGGTTTGCTTTCACGAAGATTCTTATGTCTCGACATGACATGTCACAAATCCATTGGCCTGATTGGACTCGCATCACCTGAGGGCGCGTCCTTCTTTACCTGCGACACTCTGCTCTGGTGCTACTCAATCTCATCAAGAAGCAGAAGTCTTGCATGCAACGACACTACATGAGCCTTGGAACCCTACAAGGGACCTCAAGACTACTCTGGCTTGAAGAGGTGCCTGCATATGGTGTTCCATACCTGGGAGTCTCTTTCTCCACACGATCCCCATGGAATCCTTACTACCTCTAAAATCGTTGAGAATCCCCATGTATACCCAAGGTCCCTGTAGGATACCACTAGGTTGGGAAGCCTTCGTCATCTGGGAGTTTTTTAGAGTCCAAGCTTCAAAGAGTTGAAGTTCTTCCTGTTGAAGATTTGAGCTGAGATCTTCCGCATCTGCATCCAGGCTTTGCCATCATCGTCGGAGCCAAGACCATGCCTGCCAAGCAATCAGAATAGATTCCTACGGGGCCCCTACATAGGACAGACCTCGTAAGAAGGACCCTTAGAAAGGAAATGTTCAGAACCCCAAACCTAAACCCTCAGAAGGATGGATTATGTGGGGAAGCTCGGAATTGGCATCTTTGAGAGACTCAACAGGATGGGAAGGCTCTCGGGGGCTACGTAAGCGTATTTGGGATTGTAAGGGGATTTGCAGAGTGAGTGCTTATTAAAAAAAGGACCGTCATGCAGAAAACCTCAAGAAGCTAGAGGAGGATAATAGGAATAGAAGGACCCTGGTAAGCATATTCCTACTATTCCTACCATATTCTTGGGGTCCCCTGTTTTGCTGGGGTTCCCATTCAAGTCCCCTTATATTAGGGGTTGTAATTAGAAGGAGCACCTTGAGAAACTCCCAAAAGGCTCCTATGTTATCCCCTACGCCCCAGGTAGCCCTCACATTCGTGTAGGGTTTAGGGTTTAAGGTTCAGGGTTTAGGGTTTGGGGTTCAAGGCCCAGGAAAACGCTGTGCCTTACAGTGAAGATGCCATCGCCGAGGAATTCCTTGTCTTGCTGGCGGAGGTTGGTAAAGCTGGATTCATCTCTTCAACGGCCTATAAAAAAGCCGACTATCCCCATATATTCCAGAATAATACTCCTAAACCCTAGATAATCCCTGCATATCTCTGTAGAATACCCCTAAACCCCTAGACCCACAGAGAAACTGCTGTACTTCTTCATGGCTCCTGGAGGTAGCAGAAAGTGGCATTGTGTGACGGCAATCCCTTCGTGTACCTTGGAAGAGTCTAGGGTCTAGGCTTTAGGAGGCACATGTTTAGTCCCTGAACCCTAATTAGTAGTCTCCATGTCATCGTCCATGTTCATTTTCCATTTACTTCCTCACTGTGGGGCAACATGCCTATATCAGCTGCAAAGGCAAAACTGCTCAAAGGTAAGCTGGCAAGTCCATGTGACCCCTGGACTGAAATTTTAGTATATTCCTTAAAGGCCCCCCGCCCCACTCCCCAAACCCAGCATACATCCTCCTTTAGGTCCACCTCACCTTACTTTAATCCGTAGTTCAGGTGACGCATCAAAGGAATCCTTCAAGCCCTATCTCCTAAACCAGGTGACGTATCAAAGGAATCCTTCAAGAAATGACGGATGACAATCGGATCGCTGGTGAACACAGAATGCCCACCAGTGCTCCACCTGCACAGGGTTTAGGGGTCAGGATTTAGGGTCCAGGGTCTAGGGTGTAAGCTACAACGCAAGACATGTTCGGGCGTTTGGGTTCCTTTAAAGTGTGGATGCTTAGGGGCATATGAGCCATAGTCTAAACTCCTTAAAGGGGGTTATATAGGGGATTATATAGGGACTACTATAGGGCTTATTAAGGGGGATAGTAGGAGTTTAGACAATGGCTCATATGGGGATGTCTAGGGCTTACTGTGGACCATTCAGAATTTTCCCAAAAGGGCCACACAAACTATCCTCTGTGTACAACACCTAAACAGCGCCGTTTAGCAACTGCCAAAAACTCTTGAGAGTCCAAGGTCCATAGGTCCCGGCCAGGGCCCCTCTCATCTCCTTTCCATTCCATTCCCCATTTTCCGTTATTGGGGAATAATCCCTGAACCCTAAACCCTAAACTAAATGATAGAGGTGGGGCAATAATCCCTAAACCCTAAACCCTAGACCAAATGATAAAGGAATGGCCATGTTCTTTTCCATTACCCTAACCGCTTCTCGGTTTGCAAGACGTGCCTGAAGCCCACGGTTCGGCAGATCGCCAAGCCTTCACAGATGTCAAAGCGATAGTCACAAGCCTGAGGCAGAGGTTATGTGAGCTGTAGCCTAAACTCCTTAAAGGGGGATATTATAGAGGATTATATAGGGACTGTTACCGGGGTTATTAAGGGGGATACGATTATAGCTCATGTGGGGATCATGTAGGGCTTATGCAGGGGCAAGAAAATACTGGCATTCGGCTTACAAAGTAACCACTGCTTCTGAAAGGTTTGGGGCACAGGCTTCGGGTTCAATGAAGGGTGGTTCAACAACTGGTTTTCTCATTAGCTACTTGAACGGGCGCCTTGCTTTCATTGTCGCTTCAAGCACGCGACCCGCAAATAGCACACCAAAAATGCAGAAAGTCCATGTGAGCTCATTTGGAAGCTCCTATTTGGGGATACAGCAACTCCAATGTGCATCTAAGAAGCTCGGTGCATGTTGGCTCGCCTCATATGTCCAAACAAGAACATGCTGCACAACAGGGCACCACCATCATTTGTGGCATCACAAGCAAAGCAACCAAAGTGTCCCTGATGTACTCCAAAATGTGAACCCTAAGCCCCAAACAATTGATCCTAAGGGCGAAACCATAATCCTCAGCTCAAAACCCCAAATCAAAGCCACAGACACTACGTCCCCAATCCAATGCTGCCAGAGATGCAACCCTGCCAGCCAAGCCATTGGGGCCTCACAGCCTCAGCTTTGGCAAAGCTACCAAATTTTGGAATAGTTGTGGTAGTAACAACAATAATATGCTTACCACCAATAATTGCAGCAACAACAATATTTGAAATACGGAAGAATATAGTTCTTACGGAATAGTTGTAGTAGTAACAACAAGAATAGGCTTACCACCAATAATTCCAATCATAACAATAATGGAAACTACATAGAATAGAGAATATAAACTTAGTATATATTATGTGATATTTAGAGTTTGGGGCTAATGGTAGTCAGTAGAAAATGAAGGAATGGAATCCTCCAACTTTTAGGCACATGTTGGATGTTCAGGGCGGAAACCCTCTCACGCCTCCCAGATACTGCAAAGGAGTCCACTCCCAATAAAAACTCCCCGTCCGCCCAAGCTAAATTTCATCCCAGTATACGATGGAACCATTGAGGGAGCTCATGA